TTCTTCTTCTTCTTCTTCTTCATCTTCTTCTTCTTCTTCCTCTTCTTCTTCTCGATTGCACTGACCGATGCACAATCCTCCCTTTCAGGTCAGAGTACCTTCGCTCACTGACAACTTTGCAGTCCGAAGGGGGTGCTTTTCCCTGCTGCAAGGAGCGGCTCGCTGCCTTTGATGTACGTTTGCTTCCCATTTTAACTGCTGCGATTAACGCCGGAGCTGCTAATTTTAGTAGGCGTCTAGAGGCCATGTCTCAACACGGAGTATACATATCCTAACCATCTTTTCCCACTTATGCTTCTGTGTGTTTGCCAGTGTGGTAAAACTGGAAAGAGTAACCCAGGAGGCAGACGTTTCTGTCTAGAACCTGTACCGTAAGCCCACCGAGTAGGTGCGCTATCTCATCAAATATTAACCGAAATTCTGCAATTTGTTTTCCTTTCGAAAACACTCCTTTCAGTAGGACTTGTGATATTACTTATCGTACAGTCTAACTCCAAGCTGAGTCGCACAAGTCAAGGTGACGGCTTTTGGACGAACTTCTTACCAGCCGCCTTCATATACCAAAGTTTGTGAAAAATTACCATTCGAGAAGACAATTTTAACGAACATATGTCTTCTATTATTCATCGTCCGACATTTCCAATGCTATAAAGGAGGGTAGAGTGACGACAGTTTCGACATCCAATTAAGAATAAGTGGGCAAAGTTGTTCAGAAATCAAGGGGTCAGACTCTAGTCTAGTCATATCAAGGGGCCAGAGAGGGAGGGAGTGATGGAAAAAGGGTTCCCATAATTAATTAATGTCCTTGTGTCGTCGCTATCCCGCGGCGCGGTAGGAAGCTTGAGGACGCATGCTGAGTTGGTCTTCGGCCAAGGGAGTCCTAGTGCCTGTGAAAACGCATTCTGCGCACCTTTCTGGCTCCTGGATATGATTAGAATCTGACCCCTTGATCTCTGAACACCTCTCCCCTTACCTTTGATTAGATGCTTAGACTTTTGTCATTCTACTATCCCTTATGTTGTTGTATTTGCCTGATGACGATGAATAATCGCAAACCTACTTCTTGAATGCTTACATGGGTATCATAACCAAATTTGAAAAATGACCAGGTAAATACTACAAAAGTTTCATTTATTTCCGATGCCCCTATTAATTTAAATATATTTTGTATAAAAAATGAACACAAATATCCTTTCTGGAACTCATTTGGTTACAAATTAAGTCTCATTCAAACCTGTTACCTAACAGGGCTGTCTTTCGGTTTTAAAGAAAGATTTGGGCCCGATGTGCCGCTTTCAAACTACATGCTATATAAATTCCGTCTGCACCTTTCTCTACGCCAATAAGAAGGGCGTTACATAGTGTTCGTAAAGTTTTGCAGTAGATGTGGACCATATTGTTTGCTTCATAAAAAGCCTTACTAAATGAACAAATAACTTTGTGTGTATGAGTAGACACTTCAAGGTCTTAAAAAATCTCGTAAGTAGAGAATGTTTTTAAACCAAAGGATACCTTTTCATCAAGTATCAAATTTGAAGAAAACCGTAATTTTCTAAAAACTGAGTACAAGAAAAGAAGTATATCTGAATTTTAAAGGTTTCGGAAATTAATGAGAAAAAATCGTACTATTTAGTCGGTAATTTTTATTTTTCAGTTTCCTGTTTGCGAGCGGTTGAAAAGAAACGCGTTCAAAAGTCGGCATCCTGACATAACCGAATTTATTTTGGAGTTAGATTGCACGACAATTAATACCACAGCCCTATTTTAGATTTTTTTTCGAATTAAAAAAAACGATTCAGACTTTCGTTTGGCATTTCACAAACGGAAAGTGAAATTCGTTTGAAATTACTACAGTACCGCGACACTTTAATCAGGTCCTAATTTTTGTGTACACGATAATAAATATTATAATCCTACTTACATAATCTTTTCGAAAAAAAAAACACGGTTTCAGTGTGACAGCCTTTGCACAGTGAAAATAGTTGAAGGCATAGCTAGTATTTATATTTGGGAGATTTGTTATTGAGCGCTTTTCCATGATGAGTAACCTGGGCATTGGACTGAAGCGGGCGCTTTTCGGCCAAAATCGCTGGGCACAATTTTGACTGAACCGGAGTTGCCATGGTTCGTACACATTCCTCTTTTTTTCTACTGAACTATTGCATTACTTTTAAAATCTCGTCTGCCTGGGCAATCACCTGTGCCTTTTACCTGCGCTCCTCCCTATTCAGACGTCTTTCTCATTTAGACCGCATTTGACCACGAGAAAGCCCGCTCCGAAGGTAGAATTGTCGTTGAGCCCGGCTTCGACCCTGAATTTGACACTGCTAGGCAGAACCTCCAAGTGAGTCCTTACGTCGCTGTTTTATGCTTAGACCCCTTCATGCCTTTTTTTTGCAAACTTGTGTCTTCTGATAGGCAACACGTGTGTCTAAGGTCAACATTTCGCGTCAGCTTCAGAACTTATGGCCGTGGCACGAATCAGAAAATAAGTAGCTTCGGGAACTGGGCTTATTTCAGTTTGGGTTGGTGTGAAGAACAGGCGGATATCAATGTCCAACACATTAATTCTGTTCGCGATGTGAATGGAGGCTTTATTGCTGACAACTCGGCCAAGGT